CAGCAGCCTCTGGCCGGGTCGCCTCCTCGCGGTTCACCGCGGCAGCTGGTAGGTTTTTTTCATCTAAATAATCCAAACTGCAGACAGCAGGATAATAAAAGCGAACATATTCTGTCGGCAGATTTCTGCATTTTAAGTTAATTTAGGCGTCAAACTGTTTCAGAGGAGCGATCTGTCTCTCTCTCTCTCTCTGCCAGCTCCCAGATCAGCTTCTCTGATTGGTTGATGCGGTGCGTCGAGCAGCAAAAGTTCAATCTTTCCATCTCGAGCAGCGGCGCGTTTGGGGCGCGTCAGATGGTAAATGGCATGTACTTATATAGCACCTTTATTCAAGTCAGGAGACTTGACCAAAGTGCTTTACACTACATTCATTCACCTATTCACGCACACACTCACACACAGCTGCTTAAACGCTCCCGACGTGCTGCTTCAGCTGCTCAAAACACGCTGCGGGACCTTTTGCTGTGCCTTGACGCGCGTCAACCATTGACTTTGCATGTAAACTCGCTGCTTCTGCTGCGGCCGGTGTGAACGTAGCATAAGTCATGAAAATGTTTTTTTTTTCTAGTTGCAATAGGTCTTAGACTTTCTTCAGGCTTCCTACAAAGGATCTGAATGTTCAGAAGTAGCCTGATACAGCTTGATGAAATGGACGGCACCAATATGGCAGAGACACATCTACGCTTTGAATGCATTTTTTGTTCTTAAAACGTTGAAAGAAAACAATATTTCACAACAAATAAATACTCTATAGTGCAAAAGGAAATATTTCATTATATGTGCCAATGGCCGACTATGGACTGCTTGAATACGCATAACATTGCAACTTTAAAGAAATACTGGAATCATCAGAAATTCGGAACGGTTGGTTGTACCTTTACAAATTTAGAGTTCTGGGTGTTACAGAACAAACCTTTCAAAAACAGCACTATGGCTGAGAGACATTTTATGTAGATTTATAGATTATTGCACAAAGATTTCACTTACTTCAATGATTTTCAGAGGTGCTGGATAAAGTCCTTTGCTCTGCTTCATGACTTTACCATGAACTGTTTTATAAATCTGATTCCGCACAAACTCGAAGCTCATCACATAGTCTGTAATTTCTGTTGACAGAGATGAATGACATTTATAATGAAAACCAACAGTAGTGAGCAAAGATTTAAACAGTAAATAAAGGGAAGGAAGTTACTTTGCATCATGTTTTTCTCTTTCTGAAGAGCGATCTTTTTGTTGACGATCCCTCTGGCACATTCAACAGCAACTTCTTCTAAGTACTCTATCGTTCTCTCTTCTGGACCTTTCAGTCCAGGCCCTGCAGAATGGCCAAAAACAATGTTAAAAGTAAACGCTTATAAAACACAAATCTTCGTTTAACTTTTTTGAAAAATGTGGCTGAAGTCAGAGTTATTACCTAGTGGGTCTACAAGCTGGTGAACAAGCCCCATCTTCTTGGCTTTATCTGCTTTGATGTTTCTCCCCGTTAGCATCATGTCAAAGGCGCTGGGAAGACCAACCTAAAGATTACAGAAATGGCAGATATTTGCATACTGGTAAACCAATACTAAATAAAAACTATTCAATACAGATGCAGAAATAATAAATCATATTTATTACACCAATTCTTTGTTATAGAAGTCCTTTTTTTCTTTTTTTTCCTAAGATTTAATGTGCAGCAACCTGAGCTGTCATTAGAAAACCTTTTTAAATCATTGGTTGACATTACAATTGGATCTGCTGGACCTCCGGGAAGAAGGGAAACACCAAATCTGGGTGTTCAGTAACAACTTTAGTGTTTCTTAGCCTCCATTTTCATTCTTAGTCTAGTCTATATTTGCCACTGCAGCTTCCTCGGCTTCTCTGACGTTCAGATCCGTCCTGCACTTAGATTTCTTGGGTTGACGCAAGTGAGAAGCACAAAAAAACACTAACCACAAATTAAATTTGATATTCAAAGCACTAAAGGTATGGAAGACAAAAACTATTTTTAATGGGTGTTTTGCAACACTGAAGCACTGGAACTGCCTGGAATACAAACTAAAACTATTTATCAATAGCCATTAGGGCTCGATGTTAACCATCGCCCGGAGCAAGTAGTTTTTATTGTTGGGAGAGTACAAATTTCATTGCATTTGCCCGTCGGACAATTGCAATGATCGTAAAAAAAAAAATTATTTACCCCTCAAAATTACTTTAAAATCACCGACATTCAATGAAACGACCCAGAAGCGTTGTCGGCACCATTTTTGTTGTTTTGTACACATTCTCTCGTGATTTGAAAAAGCCGGGTGATTTTCCTCCAGATGGCGTGATTTTTGTCCACCTAGCGGTAATTTTGATGTAGTTACCGAAACAACAAACAAGCTAGAAAGCGCTATCATATGGCAGTCTTCTGTACAGTGATGCAGGACATACATTAAAAAATGTTCATTACATTCTTTTCTCTTAAGACATTGAAGAGGTGCATTTAAATGTTATAGAGCTAAACATGTTAGATTGGTGACCTGTTATGTTATTATTATTGTC